GTGTGTGTGTGTGTGTGTGTGTGTGTGTGTGTGTGTGTGTGTGTGTGTGTGTGTGTGTGTGTGTGTACACACACACAGTCATCCCTCAACATTCAGAGGTTTGGTTATTTACAGGTTGGCCATCAAAGACCAAAAGGAAATTTTTGGAAATTTGGAGACAACATGCACATGGAAAGAAAACTGAAAAAAAAAAATAAGTCATAAATGCATAAACTGTATATTATTCATCCTTTTTATAATTTACTACCAGAAGCATGAATAGACAAATGCATCAGTTAAATTTCCTTTAAAGTTCCGGAACACTGAAGAGCTCCAGGCTGCGCGCTCTCTTTGGGAATGCTGCTTCCTTCGTCTCTCTACTGTCCAGACCTAGTCACATGATTCTCTCCCACAGTGAACCCCGTCTCTGGCACATTTTGTGGGAGAAAGAAATCCACCAAGACCCTGCCTGGTGGGTGAGATTAATCTTTCTCACACAGAAACTACAACTTTTTTATGGGTGCAGTGTGTTGTTTTACTTGTTTTGTGTGTTCAATAGATCTGATCAAAATTATGAAAAACAAGAGGCTTGGAATGGGGCCTGGAGTTACTTGAGTTTTTTCACATTCACAGGGTCCCACCCCCCGGTCCCATGCATGCCGAGGGATGACTGTGTATGCGTGTGCACCCAATGGGGCCCTGGCCACTCACTTAGTACAGGCTGTGTGCTCCAAGGCCAATCCTCTGGGCACTGAACCACAGTGCTCCCTACCAAGTTACAGACACCTAAGAACTTGAACCATGACGCTCCTCTATGACCCAATGGTAGCCAGAGCAGTTTTTCATATACACAGAAAACACGCAAACATTTCCTTTTAATGCTACTTACGTTCTTCTCGGCCTTAGTCTCTGATCACTGTACGGAATCAATGCCACAAGCTGATTTTCCTGGCCTACAAATATAAGATGCACGTTAAAAATACATTTAAATAGACACACAGTAAAACACCATTGCAGCGCTGGTAAGGGTAGACCAAGAAAGGAATGACTGAACAGGCAAGCAAGTTACAGCAAGACCGCTATCGCTGTGATTCTATGGTAACGAACACGCGTGAGCACAGGATAAGGTAGGGGCTTCAGCAAAGGGGGCTTACTCTAAACCACCCTGAAAAGCTCTAAGGAACCCAAATGTGCCTAATTGAGAAGTTATTTTCCCAAATAAATAAATGAAACATAAATTACAATCACATTTTCTATTAAGTACATGAAAATGCAATGTGAAACTTGAAGAATTTTCACAGATTTTCAAAAGACCCTCATATAACATCCAAGAAGGAAAGCATTATCAGAAATAAGCTTCTATGTCAGAAAGTCTCAGCCTTTTTTGTGTCATGGATCCTTTGGGCAGTTTGGGGAAGCTCATGGAATCTTTGTCAGAACAACATTTTAAATGCACAAAACAAAGCAGAGGATTATAGAAGAAAGCAGTTATACTGAAATAGTTACCAAACTAGATTTTTAGGCAGCACAGATCCCTGGTTCGGAACCCCTATTCTAGGCGTGCTCCCTGTGTCCTCCTCTGCCTGTCTTTCTAAATCCTCTTTGCCCCCTCCAGTTCCCTTGACATGACAACGATCAGATTTATCTTTGTGTATCACCACTTTTATAATCATTAGGAACTTTCATAGCTTCTTACTTCTTACAGAGAAAAGTTCAAACTCTTTATTCTGGCATTCAAGGCCCCTGACAACATGTTTACAATCTATCTCATGTCTTATTATATCACTTCCCTAACGGATCTTCCCCTCTGTCCAAACTGATGGAAATTTTCGAACACACATTGTATTCTGCTGCACATATCAAGCCCTGTCCCTGGAATTCCCTCCCCCCAAATATCCTACCTAATTATAAAAATCTTACATACTCAACAGTCAGCTCCACTCTTCCCTCCTCCCATAAAGGCCCCTAGATCACTCGATACACTCTGTATGATCCCACTTTTGAACTCATACAATTAATTGAACTGATCACTGCCCTGTGAGACGTTTTACTATTTTGCCTTTAAACTGTTATTTAACACATATATTGTTAATTCTTACCTGATCATATCTTGTAGACTCCCTGAAGCTTGCCAGCTTACAGATTGTAGACATCTTCAACTGAGAATGCCCAAACCCAAGCGCGTTTTCTGCCCCTCCAATCCCTCCCTTCCTAACTTTCCTATTGCCCTCCAGGGCAACCACCTCTTCCTCGGCCCCAGACTCACGTCATAGAGGCCTGCCTGACTCCTCACTCTGTCTCATGCCTCCACCTGCCATATCTAAGCTGTTGCCAAATCCTGTCAATTTTGCCTTCACAGCCTCATCAATTGCAATATTTTAAAAATAGCACTTGACCAATAAGTTCCCTATGCCTCCATGGAAGCAGTTTTTCCCCTTTCTTCCTCGTTAACATAATTTGTGTCTGTTTCATTTCGTTTGTGAAAGCTCCCCATCCCTCTTGGACTGACTAGGGATCGTACCTTTTAGCTGAACCCCTTTAAATTTGTTCTCCTGCAATCAAGGGTGTGTATCCAGCCATGCCTGGCTCTCCTGTCTTTCTCTGTGCCAACAGTACCTGGCACCTATTAAGTACCTGGTACTTAATAAATGCTTCACGACTTCCTGCTGAAGGCAGGAAACATGCCTCATATGTCTTTGCATCCGTCACAACATCTAGCACGGTGCTTTACACAGAATCATCTCTCATTTTTTGTTCATTGACATAATCACCCTATTACATTCTTTTGGAAAATCAACATTTGGAGAGTGGGCACACAATTCCAAAAGCAGATGCATGTTAGTGTTAGTCCCGTTTTCTGTCGGTTTAGGAGTAAAAGTGCAGACCTCATTCTCAAACGATGAGTAATGAACACACATATGTGTAATAGTCAGATGTGAATGAAGGTTAGTCATGTGAGGGTGAAATAGAGCAACACAGCAGGAACTGACCAACGCCTGGGTTTGTTTCCTGGAGGCAAATCTCCAGTGCCTGAAGATGCCATCTACTCTCGGGGCAGTTCAGGTCCCTTGAGCCAAACCCTTTAGCTAACCCTCACTAGCCATTAACAAGGCGAATTCACCCCTCACAAAAGGCCACCCTGAGCCCCGGCCTTCACCTCCTCCACAGGGTAGCACCACACAGATGCCTGTTCCCTTCCCTGTCACCTGCTTCCCAGGAAATCAAGGACTCTGCTTCGTACTTGGCATGGGACCACAGGAGGGAGGAGGAATCAGCCTAGAGGAACAGAAGGAATCAGGCTGACATTTTTGCCCAGCCATTTATATTGAAGTGGTACAGACCATTTCCAAGGTGAAATCAATAGTCCTTTCCAGGTAGAGAATTGAGGACTATGTAGGACAGGAGACAGTCCTCTGCAGGACTTCCAGGAAAGAAAGGCTCTCGCCTGCTGGGCTCAGTGAAAGCAGGCTGTCCCCCAGTGGTAATGCCACAGTCAGGGGCTCAGCAAATGTACTTTGCCAAGGAGCAGCAAGCAAACAGCTTCTTTGGTAGACCTGATCACTGCTTTGTCTTGGCCGCTCTCCCTTCCAGCCCTCCTACCCGGGAACACTGGGGCAGGGAGCACGCTCCATCGGAAACATTGGTACAGAGAAAGAGAGGAGAGCCAGGTATGGCTGGACACATACCCCTGATTGCAGGAGAACAAATTTAAAGGGGTTCAGCTAAAAGGAACGATCCCAAGTCAGTCCAAGAGGGATGGGGAGCTTTCATGAACAAAATGAAACAGACACAAATAATGTCAATGAGGAAGGAAGGGGAAAAACTGCTTCCATGGAGGCATAGGGAACTTATTGGTCAAATGGCGATTTTTAAAATACTGCAATTGATGTTCAATTCTACAATGGAGCCAGGGTGTGAAGAGCTTTAAATGGAAAACAGAGTAACTCACAGTTGATTCTAGAGGTAAGATGGGTTGGAAAAGGTCCCTGATTTGCCAATACACTCATAGCAGGAATTTTAAGAGCTGGAAATTAGGTAGTCACCTATATTCTGGAGAATGTCTAACTCCACTGCAGTACGTGTCACGGAATATTACAAAATGCATCCTCATTCTCCTCCAACCCCTCCCTTGCCTGAATGTCCCTCCTTCTGTTAAGGGAACCACCTCCCGGGGCCATGATGTCAGTGACATCCTCGATTCCTCCCTCACCCCACATATATGACCAGTCGCCAAACATGTCATTCCCATCACTGAGCATCACTGACCTCCATCTTTCTACATAGACACATGCGCACACGCGTGTACGTGCGTGCGCACACACACACACACACACACACACACACACACACAGAGCCAGTGCTCTCCCTCAGTCCACCATCTCTCACCTAGACTAAAGATTGGTCTCCTAGCCCCCTTCTCTTCTGCTCTGATCCAACCTTCACACAACTGAAGTGATTTTCTAAAGTGAAGATCTGATCTTCTAAGGGGACTGGGGACTGGGTCTTATTTGACCATCGCTTCCCCAGGGCCTAATGTGGAGCTCTCCCCCCTGTCAGCAATAGGCACTTTTCAGACTGCATTCTGAGGCCTTTTTCTCTGTTCAAGTGGCTTGCTAATATGGGGCGAGGTTTACAATGGAGTTTAGGCTTACTTTTGAAAACTCGATGTGTGCATATCGATGCAGTCGAGTTGGGGGCAAAAGAAAAAAATGTGATGCTACTTACCCCGGGGAATCCTTCCTGTCCCCTGACATGTAGGGCAAGTGACACTGTCTCTTCCAGTGAATTCCACATATGGAAACTGAGAGACATCTCCATTCCTCCCATCTTCATTATGGCTTTCGGAATGAATTAAGCCATTCCTCATATTATCAGATGATGTCATTCCATCATAACCATCGTCTTTACATGAATGCAAAGGCAAGTGAGAAAAGGATTTACCCATGTCTGATACCTACAAAAAATAATTATTGTAAATTTAAGTAAAAAGAAACACTCTCCAAAGGAAAATTTGAGTTATTATTATAATTACAACAAATTTAAAACATAAAGACAATTACATTACCTTTTAAAGACATCCGCCAGTTATTTTAATACTCAAATTCTGGCGTGCCAAAATACTGTTGAAAATATGACTTCCTGAATTTCTGAGGATCGAGCTATTTTTATTGTTTTCAGCAAAGAGAGGCAGGACAGCCCAAGAGATACAGAGTCAAGTTCTGAATCAGGAAGACTTCTGCCACACACAGACTGGCCTTTTGATCCGAGACAAGCTCCTTCCTCCATCTGTACCCCAGGAAATGCTAAGTCTGTAAACTGAAGTGTGTTTATGCTGCTATGGAGATGACGCTTCTTCACTGTGCGTTCTCTCGTCCAATAAAATCATAGGTTTTGAAGACAAAAAAGACAAAAAACCCAAGACAGCGGTCCACCCCACTCTGCGGGGCCGTTACAGGCTCCTCCAACTCCTGGAGGGGCTCGACCTGTCCGAAGAGCAGCTTAGACCTGGGGTGGCCACTGGCCGCACTGCTCTGTGATGGCGGCCAAGCTCTCAGCCCCTCCACAAGCTTCAATTTCCTGATCAATAGTAAGATGGAAATGACCTCACAGGACTGGTGTAAGGAAGGAACAAAGGACAAAGGCTATACAGGGCTCTGCTGACATTTCTACAGCCCTTCCTATGTGCTAGGCACTGTGCTTGGCACTTGGCAAATACCTCATTTGATCTTCCCAACCACCCTGGGAGGAAGGTATTATTATCATCCTCATTTTACACGTGAGGAAGCTGGGGCAAACAGAGGCTATGTGACTGTCTGAGAGCCGCGTCACTAGGAAGTGTCTCTGGCTGGATTTCAACTGAGGCCGGTCATCCAGGCCCAGCGCCATCTCTACGGGGAGGAGGGCAACATTCACTTCTTCTGTTCTTCCCAAAAAAAGTCAATTCTTGTTTTAATTGGATTTTAGCACCAAATAAAAGAGATTTTCAGGCTTTCTGGACTGCAGTTGATTTCACTCTCATAAGGACCTCCTAGGAAAGCTCTCTTCAGCAGAGCCGCGAGCGCTCAACCCTGCACTTCAGTCTTCGGAGTCTCCGTGCTGAGTGCTGACTCTCTGAGATGAAAGAGTGCACTTAGGCCTCACCTTTAAGACCTGTCTATTTTACCCACAACCAGGAAGCTAAAATAGCTAGTTCTAACCAGTGGTGATCATTTACCTCCACAAGAAAAAGATTCTTTAAGGAACTAAATGCTCATACCAAAAGTTACCCTGAAAATGATTCCTATATTGTAATACTAGTGTAAACGACAACAGTTAAAAAAGAGTAAGAATGAGGCTGACGCTCCAGTCAGATTATAAATTCAGGGATAAAATAAAAACAAGGCTCTTGGGACTTAAAGTTGGAAAGGACCTAAGAGACTCAACTAGTTCGGTGATTTCACAAGTAAGGAAACAGAGGCCGAGGAGGCGGAGTGATTTGGCAAGAGCGGCAGAGTCAGGATTCAAGGCTGGGTCTTGCCTCGAACTCAAGGCTCCTTCCACCCCACGGTCCTAGAACCTCTTAATGCCAAAGAGAAGGCCGACAACTTTGGAGTTCTGATTGCAAACCTTCAGGGACCACACTAACAAAAAAGCCCAGAGCAGAAATTCAGACCTGGGCGTTACTCAACTGCTCCGGCCACAACCGACTCATCCGGTCTCCAGGGCCAGGAACACTTGCCCCATCTATTTTACAAATGTGTGAAGAGGGAAGTCCTGGCTATTGCTGCCTCCAATCAGTCCCATCGGGCCTTCCGCAACAGACAGACAGACAGCCAGGGCACTGACGAGCGGGCCCGCTCTGACTACCAGCGAAAGGCAGCCCCGTGGCCTGTTTCTTGTAACTGGTCTGAGACAGTCCTCCTCAGGAGATAAGCCAGAAGCCACTAAATATGGCCCATCCAAAGAAGAGCTACCTTCCCAGAAGACTACCTTCTACGCTTTGATCTGTCTGAGTGAATCCACCACTAATAATTTCTTCATAATAGCTGAAATGATGTGAATTCAAAAGAATCAATTGTAACTAAAGTCTGCTTCCAACAGGTCTTAGGAGTCCAAAGAGGTCCCTCATCCTTCCCTGGCCCAAATAAGTGTGACCTGAGCTACTTAATGCTGCTGGTTTGCTTGTTTTTGGGGGGTGGGGTTGGGGGGCAGGGAGGAAGGGCAACATGAATGGCCTCCACAGAATAAAAAGATGAACAACATCGGAGCGGGCAGAGAACCACTGCAAAGATGTTATATAGAAGGTTAAACTTGAGCTAAGCCTTGAAGGGAACTAGGTACGCTGGAAGAAAGAGGTGAAGACAGAGCATGTTCCAGGCAAAGGAATAGATGCTGAAGAATTAGAGCACTCTGTGTGGCTGCAGGGTAGAGCGGACAAAGGAAAAAGTGATGCTCCTCTCACCAGCAGATCCTGTTTGAACCCCGTCCTAGCCATGTGACACTGGGTAAATCATTTAACAAGCTTCAACTTTAATTGATGCTCAGTCAAGGCTGAACACCTACAAATGATTCACAGTGGTATAAACAGCACAAGAAAGGTTGTTTCCACTTTACATAAAGAAAATAGAGGGGAAGACGCCATGGACATACCCCAAGTCTGTAAAAGTCAGGACGTGAACCCCAACTTGTGACTTTTTTTTTTGGTTAGGCAGTGGGGTTAAATGACTTGCCCAGGGTCACACAGTTAGTGAGTGTTATGTGTCTGAGGCCAGATTTGAACTCAGGACGTCCTGAATCCAGGGCTGCTGCTCTATCCACTGTGCTACCTAGCTGCCCACCAATTTGAACATTCCAATAAAACCTTGTGACTGGGCCACCTCCAGATCTAGGGTATGTAACCTCACCTGGGCAATCTTCTGACATTTCCTTACCCTCCTCTCCCTCTACTCACCTCCTAAGCCCCAGCTGAGAGCCCTGCCTCCCCTCCCAGAGCTCCCCCTCTCCTCCATCAGCCCAGCTCACACACAAAGGTGACCTTGCTTTGCCCAGGCCAACCTTGTACCTGCACACGCCATGCCATTCCGTTCCCTGGCATCCCCTCTGTCACTCATATTCCTTCAATCTCCTCCTCTCCACCGGCTCACCCCTACTGCCCACAAACAGGCCCACGTCTCTCCCATCCACAAACCAGTCTCACGTGGTCCTTCCACCCGCACTCACCACTGTTCTCTCTCCCTGCGGCCCTTGGTGGAGAAGACTGTCTACACCAGCGCCTCCACTTCCTCTCCAAAGTTATTAACATCTCTCTGTGGCCAAACCGAATGGGCTCTTCTCAGTCGTCAGCCTCTCCGACCCTCTGCCGCCTTAGGCGCTGTCCTTTGTCCTCCTCCTGAACAGTGCGAATGCCCCTTTGTCCTTCCTGACTGACTGCTCCTTCTCTGTCACTGGATCTCCACCCAGGTCATGCTGGTTCATCAGGGGTGTCCCCACGGCTCTGTCCCGGGCACGTCACTCGGTGAGCTCATCCGCTCCCGTGGCTTCCCAATCATCTCTACACTGAGGACGCTCAGACTCATGCGGCTCTAACTGCCAGCGCCGCATCTCCATCAGCCGACTGCACACCTCCTGCGGCCCCCTCATAGACATGCCCCAAACCGGACTTGTCTTTCCCCCAAACCCTTCCCCAGCTCCCCTGCTCCTGTCAAGGCGCCAGCATCCTCCCAGGCATCCCGATTTGCAAACTCCATGACATTCTCACCTCCTCGCCACCTCACCCTTCTATCCAATCTGGTGCCAATGCTGATCAGTTTTGCCTTCCCAGCATCCCTCCCCTAATACCGTCGCCACACCACTGCAGGTCCTCGTCACCCCATGCCCAGACCACTGCAGTAAGGGCCCCTGGGGTCTGCCTGCCCTCGGCTGCAAGTCTGACAGCGGCACATGCCAGGACCAAAGACAGAATCCTGCCTAGCTCTTCGAGCCCTTTCCAGTCTTCGCACACCTTGCACACCATCACAAGCTCTGCGGGCCAGGGGCCTTGCACAAGCCCCTCCAGCCCAGGCTTCAGGCATTCTCCCCAGGGGTCCCTGGGGCCAGGAGGCTCTCCTCCTTATCTCTCGCCTTCCAGGCTTCCTTCAAGGCAACCTTCTCCAGGAAGCCCTTCTGACCCCTCCCCACCCCTTACTTCTCTTCTGCTCTGGGCTGCAGAGAGCAGGGGAGCAGGGGCTGTCTGTGATCCTGCACTGCAGCCCTGGCTTAGCAGTGCCTGGCATGACCACACGAAACCCCTGAGAACCCTAACGTGCCACAAAGTTGGGCTCTGGCCAGACTCTGCCCCTAACGCCCTCCTCCCAAGCCAGGTGGGCAAGAGGGCTGCGAGACATCCAGGGTCCAGACAGCTCATCTGTTCTGTGTGTGTGCGTGCATGTGTGTGCATTTATGTGTGTATGTGCGCGCGCGTGTATGTGTGGGGGGGTTTCTGCTTCCAGGGCAAGGGTCTCACCCAGGGGAAATCATGGGTGCTCCAACAATCACAACTTGGGGGAATACAGGGTTAGAGATGGGGAAACTGAGGCTGCAGAGATCACTGATGTGGCCAGAGTTGTAGGGGGTTCCTTGGAAGGCTCAGCAGATGGTCACTGAATACTCAACGGCCATGAACAGAGAGGAGAAAGCACCGGCCTCATCTCTGACACTTGGCACAACTCAACCGTGCTGGACCGGATGGCCCTGGCTTCAGATTTCACCTGTTTCCCGTGTGCTGGTCCAACAACAGGACTGGGGGTGAGCATCTGGGGTCCCTTCCAGGCCCAGAGCCAGGATTTGGGCGCCCCTCCATCATGGGGCCATGACACCTATTCCTCCATCAATCAATAAACCCTGACTAAGCGCTGGATGTGTGACAAGCTCTGTGCTAAGCACCAGGGCTACCAAGAAATCCAAAGGCAGCGCCTGCCCTCATCGAGCCTGCCATCTAATGGGGCCCAGATACAAACAAAGTAGGCTGCACACAGCACCAAGGGGAGGCTCCCTGAAGAAGGGGTGCTGTGGGACCCCATGGGGGGTCAGCTGACACCCTAAAACACTGGATTCCCACGATGGGCGATGGGTGCTCGGCTAACCCGGGGGACCCCCTCATCACCTCAGGGGGGCCCCTGACTAGGTGGGGGACTAACCCTGGGGGGCCCTGTCATCACCCCAGGGCGGGGGTGCGAACCCTGGGGGGTCCTCATCACGGGGGGGGCTAACCGTGGGGGCCCTGTCATCACCCCAGGGTGCGGGGGACTAACCCTGGGGGGCCCTGTCATCACCCCAGGGTGCAGGGGGCTAACCCTGGGGGGCCCTCATCACACGGGGGGGCTAACCCTGGGGGGCCCTGTCATCACCCCAGGGCGGGGGCGCGAACCCTGGGGGGTCCCCCTCAACACTGTAGGTCGGGGGGGGCTCGGCTATCCTTAGGGGGCCCCTCATCGCCCCAGGCGGGGGCTCCGCTGCTCTCGCCAGGCCCCACGCTGACGGCCCCTCTCGGCCCTCCTGGGCTGGGGTGGCACACCTCGGGGCGCCCCTGGCACTGCTGGTCCCCCCGCCGCCCGGGGGCGGCTCCGCGACATCGGTGACGTTCAGGGTCGCCGCCGCCGCACTCGGGGGGGGGGTCAGGCCCCGCAGGCCCCCACCCACCTCCTCCGGGGTCTCCCTCACCTGGACGGCGGCCCACTCGGGCTCCTTCTCGGCCCGGCGTTGCCTCGGCCCGGCTCGCTCGGCTCTCAGGCGCTCCCCGCACTGCGCCTGCGCGGGCGGCGAGGCGAGGTGTGGAAGGGGGGAGGGGGAAGACGGGAGCGAGAAAAAGGGCAGGAGCGCGCGCCCTACCTGGGGGCCGCTGTTTACATCAGGAGACACAGTGCGCAGGCGCCCATGACACCATTTCTCCGCGCCTGGATTTATTTTAAGTTTAGCATCAGTTATGGATATGCGCATGCGTTTGAGCCCTCAGGCCCGAATTCCAGGATTGTTCTCGCTAGACCACACTTGTACCTGGATGTGCGCACGCGCACATGCCAGCGCTTTCCTCAGTATTTTGGTGTGGCTTTGGCTTTAGCACCAGTCACCGCGAAGCGCATGCGCTTGGGCTGCCGGTCCCTGACTTCTTGACCTGGTTCTTCAAAGTGGGGAAAAACACCTCAAAGGACACGCACAAGTTATTGGTCCTTCGTACCTCGCTCCTTTTTTTGGGGGGGGGCAGGAGTGGGCGGGGCGGGGGGGGGCGCCCTCCTTTTGGTGTTGGCATCACTCGGCGATATGCGCACGCGCTTGCGCCTCTGCTCCTTTCTTCCAGGTGTCTGTTTCCGTAGTCAACATCCACCGGCGGATGCGCCATCCGCCCGGCCCGCTGTCCTCCGTACGCATGCGCCCAGGCTTGGCTTTGTCCCGAGCCCCTGCGCTCCGGGGGCGTCGGCCTCAGCTGGTCGCCCTCGGTCCCCGTCGCCTCCTCCCCGATTTTCTTTCTCTCCACGGCCGTGATCCCACGACTGCCCCCTCCGGGGCTTCCTAGGAGAACAGCGGCCTCCTTCGGCACCTTTTCCTCCCTTTTGGAAGCTTTCCGCCCGCCCGTGCGCGCGCGCATGTGGATTCCCCGAGGGACGCTGGGCCTCTGTGGGGCCTGGGGTGACTCGCCCTGTGCTTGGACAGTGGGCACGAGATGTCTGGGAAGGAATCTTGAGTGTTCCGAGGCCCCCATAGCGACCTTCTCGAACAAGGCCCGCCGTGGCGAGCTTCTTTCAGTGTCTGCCCATGCCCCGATTCCCTGCCCTCCAGGGGCTTATGTTCTGCTGGTGGGCGCCGTACTGCCTATGTTAAGAACCCGACCAAGTGGAAAGGGCTATAGACCTGCCATCTTAGACCGATGGCATTGCAGAATGAGAAGGGACCTGGGGGCATCAATTGTGACCAAGACCCCCCCAAGTATCACCCCCTCCCCCCACCGACTAGACAGAGGGTCCCCCATCTTTTGCATGAAGACGTTCACTGTTGAGAAGCTTTTATTTTCTCCATTTGTCAGACCTCAGCCTGAAGCCCCACCTCTGCTCTCCGGGGTCAAGGAGAACAAGGTGAACCCCTCTTGTCTAGACGGCCCTTCAAACACCCTTGGATACAGCCTCCTGTTTCCCACAAGTCTCCACGTGGCCAGGCTCCACATGGTCATTCCCTTCAGCTCCTCCTGGTGTCAGATAGAGGCAGCTGGACTTGGAGTCAGGCTGTGGACCCACCAGGGGCTAGCTGTCTGTTTGGGGACGAGTCACTTAATTTCTCCAAGACTCAGTTTTCTCCTCAGTAAAATAAGGCTAACTCCAAGACCAGTCATTGTTTGAGAGTCATTGTGAGGAAGGACATTTGATTCTATCACAGTTGCATTTCTTAATGCCCTGTGTGAGTTGTAGTCATCATTACCGTGGATTCAAGGCCTTGTCCTACTGTTGGCCTTCCTTCTGTTGGGTGCTTCCCCACTCCTCCATGTGGACAGTCTTCCATGATGTCCCTGCCAGAGCTGAGTAAGTGCCCTACATGTGCTCTCTCCAGATTCAGAGGCTAGCCAGCCACTTAAGTACTGGTCTGAGACAGAACCCCACGATTGTATTAGCTTTCTTGGTTTCTCTATGCAACACTCACTTCAGGAGCCTGCAGTCCTTCCCCCTTTCCTTAATGATGGAGTTGTCTTCATCTCAGTCTAGTAGGCAAAGTGACCTTTACTCTCAGAGATGCTGGAGGTGAACAGAAAGAGCATTTGTGTGCTTTGTATGTGGGGTGTCCACTGGCTCAGGACAGAGGGTTCTCATTCTTATTATCCTCCAGGCCCCTTTTATCAAGCATCTGCCACTCAGTGGGTCACTCAGCACAAACAGATAAAAACCAAATGATCCTTGCCCTCAGAGAGCTCACATTCAACTGAGAAAAAGCCACATGTACATAAAGCTTTAAAGAACAATTTTGGGAGAGGGGGATTCACTAATAACCAAGGTCTTTTATAGGAAGTGGTGGGATTGGTCTGAGCTGGAGATTCCAAGAGGCAGAGGTGAGGAAGGAGGGCAGTCCAGGAGCCAAGGTGGGGGATGGAGGAATGTCATGTGCAGAAAGCTGGGAGTGAGCCAGGAAGAAGCTGTAGGGAGGAGGACGGAATGTAGAACCATCCTGAGGTGATGGCTGGTCTGAGATGGGAAAGGCCAGTGGCCTACAGAAAAGGCAGACGTGGCCAAAGGTAAGATGGGGCATAGGGTCCTAGGGTGATTAATTAGATTACAGATCTCTAACAGGGCAGGAAGGAAGGAAGGAGGGAGGGACGGGGAGTGAGGAGGGAAGGAAGCAGACTGTTCTGTGGCCCAGTCGCATACCTGTTGCCCTAGGCTACCAGACATTGTCCCTCTCCTCTCCCTTGCCCTCCACTCCCCATTCGAGCTGAGCTCACATAACTTCAGTGGGGCTCCGGTGTTGTCTGTCTCCCTC